GAATGGAGGTTTTCATTTTTTTTTTTTTCTTTTTGTAATAGATATAAACAAGTGAAAGTGCCTCTTGGGAGTTTTTTAACTTCTTGGAGTTTTTTTTCTTTTTGTAATGGATATAAACAAGTGAGTGCTTGTTGGGAGTTTTTTAATTTCCACGACTTCTCGTATCTTTTTTCTGGAATTTGGTTAAAAACGTAATGTTAGAAGAATTTTTACTGGTAATTTAAAATTAGAAAACACTAGTAATTATATCGTGTTAGTGTAAATCATACATCTCCAAATATTGATATGTTTGTACCTCATCAATCATGTTCAACGATGTCGTTAATTTAATACAAATCCATTTAAAATCGAATTAAACTGGAAGTCAATGTAAAAGCTATAGAATTTTATATGGAGAAAATATATTTTTACTCAAATAATTGAACAATAAGCCTAAACTGGAAGTCAATGTAGAAGCTATAGAATTTTATATGGAGAAAATATATTTTTACTCAAATAATTGAACAATAAGCCTAAACCTTGTCAAAAAGCAATCTTAAAAACTGGAACTTGATTCCCATTGAGCAAAGCTCGTCACTAACATTAAAGTTCAAATCTCTTCAATTTTGAATTTTCTAACTGTATTATATTGGCGGACAAAACTCAGCAATGGTCTTAGGTCCTCAATATTCTGACAAACTAGCCATACTCAAGACTTAACTAACAAAACAAAAAATGTCATAGCCAAACTAACATACAACATCCTCAACAGTAGTACTTAACTAACAAAACGGAAAATGTCATAGCCAAACTAACATACAGTATCTCAACAGCATCTTGTTCGCCAGACTGCGAAGAGTATTGAAAAATCAAAACTTTTCTAAGTGTTTGGACAACAAATACAGAAAAAAGTCGTTTAATTTAGACATCATTTGGCGGATGGTTGAGAAAAATACAGAGTTAAAATAACGAAGGATTTAGCAGCCAAATAAACTAGGAACATCAGAAAAACAAAAACCTGAAACTATAATCCGACATAAAAAATGACCATTTTCTTTCATGCAACACTATTACGAGGCAACGTACATTCTAAATCAAAAACCGAACTCAATGTCTAGAAATAAATCGTCCAAGTAACATAACGCACGCAAGAAGATGTTCAAAGGCAGAAACAGAATTTCTTTAGAAATTTTGATATGAGAATACAGACAGTATATTTTAAAAACAACATAAAAATAAATATGGCATTCTACTGCATGCATTATACCCTTTTTTTCACAGGGCATGAAAAGACCTGCCCAGCTATTACGTTGTGTCACACAAGACTGTTTCTGCACATAATAGTAAGTTACAGAACCTAAATGCAAAAATAACTCTCTAATTTGCAGTAATATAGACAACACAAGGTGTCTACAACAATGCTGGGACTAGCACTAACCACGGTCATACACTCACTGGTATCATTAAAAAAATCAACAGAAAAAAACAAGGAAAAAAAAAATGTTTAGTATTATTACCTCAAGAAGCTAGCTAATACAGAGCACAATATTTTGAGGTCAGGAGAAGAATAAAGCGAAGAGAAACCGTGCGGGTTACTGATAGTGGCTTTTTTTTTCAGCCTTTCATTTTACTGTCGATTTTTTTATTTCGGCTTCTTGGAGTTCCCTTTGTTCATCCTCCTCGTCCTCCTTTAAGTCATGTGCCTCAAGCTCTTTAGCAGCACTCATTGCCTTGACAACCGGGTCCCGCAGTTCTGATATGAGCCCATCACCTATCTTGTACTCTTCCTCATCTCCGGTCAAGAACAGCCGTTGATCGGGTCCACCTGCCACCTGGACATCCACTGCCAATAGCTTCATATCATACTGCACGAAATTGACAAGAGCATGTGAAAATTCCGTTTGTTTGTCCCTTTCTAGTGAAAGTTGTGACTACAAAACCTTTTCGTGAAAGTTTCACGAAAACATGCGTATCGATAATTAAAAATCAGAANAAGGATCGGGCTTGGATAGAAGGGAAAACCTGTCCTTTGTTCTTCCGGACTTCAACACTGACTAGTCCCTTTCTCTCCGAGCCTTGTATTGGGAAAATTAGAAAGCACCTTTTGCTTCTTAGCCTGGGACTGAAATTCTTCAGTGTAATGCCCCCACCTGACATCACGTATGCTCTCACATCAGTGCCTCTGAGTGGTGCACCCATGGCCTCGAGAATTCCGGCAGACGTATTTAGCCTCCTCATCGCCATTCTGTAAACTTTATCCGGATTGATGTTGAATCTTGCATGAAGGTACAAGCCCTTTTGCGCAAGAAAATGAGAAAGGAACGAATTGTAATTATAGATGGTCGTTCACTTGGATACCAACAAGTAAAAAAAGAAAATGAGGGAAAAAATAGTTAAATGACCGGAACAAGAGAAACATGTCAATGTCATACAACTTGATAATTCGCCTCCTCTCATCAAGTTAACCAAAATAACATGCATGCAGATTTTTAGTTTTTATACCTCCATTTTCTCTTTAACTTAGAAACTACTTGTTCCGGTCCCCACTACTTCATGATAGGACTTAAAAATTCTGTATGTAACGGTGAATTGGCTAATTCCACATTATACAATACTATAGTTGAATTTCATTATCATTTTGAAGCACTTAAATCTATTGAACTCGGGATAACTCCACACAGCAAAAAAGATAATCACATGGTCCAAATAACTTATAAGGTTAAAAACAAAGTTGTACAGCCACTGACCAATATACACAGTCTCACTCTCTACACAAAACTCAGTAGCTAGTTCAGACATCCTTAAAATCCCACCAAAAATAAAAGCAAAGAAATGAGTTCAAGCAAAATTATAAAGCAGCAGCTACAACCAGCAAACAATGATACTCGAGCTAAACATCATTCTGTACTAAAACTCACAAGCTAGTTCAGACATCCTAACAATCCCACGAAAGAAAATCACATAAATGAGTTAAAGCACAATTATAAAGCAGCATCTACAGCCAGGAAACAACAGTACTCACGCTAAACACGACCACGGCAGATGACAGAGCAAGAAATCCAAACTCAGCCATGCCCTCCGAGAAACCTACAATAACATCTGCCACCCCAAATAGCACCCGCCAAAGCACAACGCACACCACAAGCCCACCTGCACCGGCCACTGCCAGAAAATTCCTCCGCAAGAAGGACTCGATTTGCAGCCTCAATGCCTCCCTATACCTCCCCAACCCACCCTTAAAGAACAAAGCAGGGTTTTTCACCATCTTCTTCACAAAATTGCCGGAACCCATCTCGGGATTCGTGAAGGAAACGTACCTGCGCGCCAAAAAGTTCCCGGCCGGCGAAAATTTGGCTTGTATGTCGGAATTTCGGCGAATACCTGGAGTGCTGGCTGACGAAGAAAAATGGGATCGTTGGGAATTTAATAGCCATGAGGAAGATGTGTGGGTGTTGATTGATTTAGGGTTTCTTCTGATGATTTGGGAAATGCCATTTCTGGCTGCTGGGGCTTCTGATACAATGTGATGAAAAAACGTGAAAATGAATCTTGCTTGAGAGGGTTTTGCCATTTTCTGGCTTCTGATTTTTGTAGACTCTCGTTGGGCTTTCAATGTTGAAATGGAAATTAGGTGCGTGGGAATCAGATAAGGCAGGAATTGATCGATGTTCAAGAAGAAAAATGAATTCAAGTGTAGCGATCGACCACGGAATTGCCAGACACGTTCACCTACTGACGTGGAAGGGGTGTCCAGTCGGTATACAAAATACAATGGCATATTTCTCAAATTCAAGGTTTTTTACATTTTTTCTAAATAAATTTTTTTTAACCTCCCAAAGTATAACCGATTTTAGAGTTCGCCTTACAAACTTTTTTTGCCTAATACAACACAAAAAAATATAACTCAAATAACGATAAATTTTGATTGATCTTTAAAATTGATTTAGGACTTTTAAAGCTGATAGTGAGAAGAACAAAATAAGATATGGTTTATTGGTTTCTGAAAATTGATGTCTTTGTAATATGTAGACGAAGAAAGTAGGAGCAAGTGTGTATAGAAAAAATTTTAATTCAATTTTCTGATAATCAAGATATTTGATTTTCGTTTAGACTGTGTTATTTGAAAGCTTGAAAAACGAGTTTTCTAATGAAGTAAATCTTATGAAAATCAAAGGTCGGATTTTGGTTAGTAATCTAAAAAAAACTAAATACTGATCAGTGGTCTTCTAACAACTTATCAAAATTTGGCCGTTGGATTTTCATATGATTTACTCGTTAGTAAATTGGTCCTGCAAGCTTTCTAATGGCACATCCCAAAAATCGGAGATCTTGATTATCAGAAAGGTTGAATTGAAGTTTTTTACTATACACATGTGCATCTGCTTTATTTGTCCATCAATTATTGACGTATCAATTTTCCGAAATCGACATACCATACCTCATTTTGTTCATCTCGTCATGGGCTTCAAAAGCTTAAATCAATATTAAAGATTAATTTGAAATTTATCATTAATTGAGTTAAACTTTTTTGTGTCATATTAAGATGTTTAATAAATGAGGTAAATTGTCAGTTTCGATTACTATTGGAGGCAAAGTGTTAGTCAAAAAGTTTGTAAGACAAATTATAAAATTCGTCATACTTTGGGAGGTTAAAAAACCTTTTTTTCTTTAATATGAGTGAAATTCTTATAAATATTAAAGTTTGAAGGTAGAATTTGATGAGGTGTTTATGTAATTTATGTTTGAAGTTTGAGTGAGATTTAAAAATCCAATAAATGTAAGTTTCAGTGTTTAGGTTAAATATCTCACTTCATTTAATATTTTTAGAATCTTAATTTAAAAAGTTTCTTAATATTTTTAATTTTTTTTAAATATAATCTAAATACATCAGAATCTTTTAAGAAGTATTTCAAAATTCTAAATGTTATATATATATATATATATATATATATAGGATGTGGTTCAAATGAGAACCAAGTTCTAGCGTGAGAACCGTGAGAACCGCTATTTATAGTTGCAAGTAGTGCTGTGATTTATTGTGTTTTAATGCTATTTTTAACATTGATTTATTTTCTTAAAAATAGCAACACAATTTATAATAGCATTTGTGAAAATGATAGCACCATGTGATATTAAAAATAGCATCATACACAATAAAAACTAGCATCAAATACGGTTCTCACGGTTCTCACACCAGGACTAGTTTTTATTTGAACCACTCCCTATATATATATATATATATATATATATATATAATGGAGTGTAATATTGTGTGGATTTCAAATGATCAATTTTTTACTTGGTACACAACTAAATGTTTCTAAGTTGTTAAACGACACAAGTACTCGTGAGTTTGAATTGAGTTTCGTCTAAGACTTGTACAGTTAACGAGTTGAGACTTGAAAAATACAGGTTCTGCATTAGTTTTTAAAGTTTTCAAGCTCAATTCGTTAAAGCTTGTGAATTAGCTGAGCTCAATATCGTTTATAAGTTAGAGTCAACTCAATTCGATACGAGCTCGAACCCAAGCATATGTATCAGTAGCTCAAAGTCGGCTCCGCTCAACTTATCTACATATTTAAGTCTATGGCATGAAGTTTATTGGTGCTATTCAACAGCAAATTCTCACTTGTCATAAACGTAGGTTCATTCCACTATAGAGTCAACCGTTGACTGCATCGAAAAGTTGATTTCCTAATTTTCTAATCCATTTTAAATTTTTTAAGAGACTTGTGTACGTAATGTAATATGTTGTCCAATGTGTTTGAATGAGTCCCTGACCGAAATTGTTGATGAGGAAGAGATGAGAACTGTCTCGATGAAAGTGCATCCCAATAAAGAACTTGGAATAGATGGAATGACTCATTTGTCTTCCAAACCTCTAGGAATATCACTAGAGAAAAACTTTTTATGGTTGTACTTAACTTTTTTGATAAAGGAAAAATGCCCAAAGCCACAAACCATACATTTACAGCCCTATCTCCTAACGTGAAAAATCCCCACAAAATAACATACTAGAGAAAGTGTGTTTAGGTTTTAGGAATGTTTCTAATTTCAATGAAAACTCTCTTGCTCAAACAACTTTGGAGATTAACCACAAATCCAAATCTTTTGGTGAGTAGGGTCTTGGGTAGAACTTTTGGAGTAGAAGTCTTTGGGAAATTCGTCCTAAAATTGTTGATTCTTGGCTTTAAAGGCATTGGTTAGCTGCTAGAAAATTGTTATCTTTGGGAGCTAGGTATTAAGTGGGGGATGAAAAAACAATTCACATCGGGAATTCTCTGTGGATCCCTAGTAGCCCTTGACCGTGCGTCGCAACACGACAAATTTGAATTTATAATTTTTTAACTTACCCCTACTAACTAGTAGTAGTGGCGAACAAGGGTCGATCCCACAAGGAGAGTGGTATAAACCGTGATTATTTTGTATTTATTAGATTTAAGTGAAAATGGGGGGGATTTAATTTAATACTAAACTACTAGCAAAATAAGAAAATAAAGTACAACTAGAGATGAATGATTAAAGTGAAAATGATGATGAAATACAAAATAAATAAATAATTTAGTGAATATGAGAATGGAATCAGTTTTAGGTTGGTCTACACCCTCGAATAACTAGCCCAATTAATGCTTTTATCAAATTTCACTCGTCTTCTAAAACTACCGGTCCTAGATAGTAATAAGCTCTACTACCCGAATTTTTCCTTAATTTTTACTTAATAGAAATAGGCTCTTCAATTAATTCTAACTAGCGAATAACTCGAAATAAGTTCTCCTAATTTAATCCACTGGTCGCATTAAAATCTAGGAAAATAGACCGATCTAAGCCACAAACACATAAGCTCGGTTCATGTAACTTATGTTGTGTTATCCCTAACAATGCACGACTGTTAGTTGCTACAATTTAATTAACAACTACGACAATTACGGATCGAAGCCTCAACTCTAGCAATTGACATGCAATTCCTAACTTAGGTGATCAAGCTAAATTCGCACATTATGACATGAAACTAGAATAACACAAACAATTTTATACCACGAGTAAAACAAAATAAATTGCATTAATCGAACATAGTCATTGAGGGTTCAACGTCCCTAGAACCGAATTAATGTTTAGCTATACATAGCTAAATGATTAAAACAATAATAATTCATCATATTTTCCAAATAAATAAATAAAGCAAATAAAATAAAACAAACTCCTTAAAGTGAAAGATGCTCCACGGCTAATTGAATTCAAAGTAGCAATAGGACTTCTCTCGTCTCTGTTCTCGTATGAAAGGTCCCAGGATGAATCAATTATTTTCTTTTCTTTTTCCCAAAGTAATCCACGTCAACTCCACAAGAGTCCAACTAAATTCTAATTCTCTTTCCCTCAACCACTCACCAGAGTCCAAAGGAAATTGAATTTCCCTAAGTCTCAGCCATCCCCACAAGAGTCCAACTAAATTCTAATTCTCTTTCCCTCAGCCACTCACCAGAGTCCAAAGGAAATTGAATTTCTCTAAGTCTCAGCCATCCGCCAACGAAATGATAAACATTAATTTAAAAGTCCACTTCTCTAAAATTAAGTCTTGTTGCATGTGTTTTGGCCATGTAAAATTATAAGCCACATCCTTGCATATTAATTCGCCACCTCACCAATGCCAAGTCATAATTGGGCATAACATCAAAAAGGCTTAACCTGCAAAATAAACACAAATTTCGACTATTGGTGTATGTCCGTTCACAAAATAAAATACGTGAGAAAACTTGTATAATACACTAAAATCAAATACTCCAATATATAAATTAAACCCCAAAATAATACAAGATTTCTCACGTGTCAAATCTCTCCAAACTAAAACGTTGCTTGTCCCCAAGCAACATAGAACTAGAACACAAAGAACGGAAAAAACAATCAAATATGTGGAAATTTCGCTCAGGTCCTTACACATCTCACATAAATGCATAGTTACAACTTCCCAAATTAATAACCCCGGACTCGAAATGAAATCACCTTTAGAACGCCAACAATCAAATATCAATTCAGTGAATTACCGCACCTCGTCAATCTCTTCACCGAGTATACCAATCATGCAACTAACGACATCCTTTTCTTTGCCAACCGGTTTAATTCTTCTTCGCTTCTAGCCAAAAATCAAACGTCTCGATATATTTTTTTGTTTCCTCTTTTTTTTTTCTTTCTTTGACACTCAATTCCTAACTTTTAAAATTTGACCGCGCGTCGCAACACGGCTTTGAATTTATAATTTTTCCTAACTTACCCTTACTAACTAGTAGTAGTGACGAGCAAGGGTCGATCCCACAGGGAGTGTGATATAAACCGTGATTATTTTGTATTTATCAGATTTAAGCAAAAATGGGGGGGATTTAATTTAATACTAAACTACTAGCAAAATAAGAAAATAAACTACAACTAGAGATGAATAATTAAAGTGAAAATGATGATGAAATACAAAATAAATAAATAATCTAGTGAATATGAGAATAGAATCGATTCTAGGTTGATCTACACCCTCGAATAACTAGTCCAATTAATGCTTTTATCAAATTTCACTTGTCTTCTAAAACTACCGGTCCCAGATAGCAATAAGCTCTGCTACCCGAATTTTTCCTTAATTTTTACTTAATCGAAATAGGCTCTTCAATTAATTCTAACTAGCGAATAACTCGGAATAAGCTCTCCTAATTTAATCCACTGGTCGCATTGAAATCTAGGAAAATAGACCGATCTAAGCCACAAACACATAAGCTC